TTAGCGACAAAATGAGCAGTTCCTCTGCCACCTTTTAATGGCTGTGTCTCCTAATTAACAACAATAATGATAATAACAACGATGATGATGATGATGATGAAACTTACCAATAGTGTAATGTAGATCCAATTATCATTATCAGTCCCACAGCTATTGCATTTAATCTTAATAAATTAAAATAGAATTTACAACACAACAAGAAAGAGGATCTCCTTACTTTGAGGTACCATCTAAAATCTTCTCCTGTTGCTTCTAGTTTAGTAATTCCTTCGAGACAAGCTTTAAACTGGAGAGCTATCTTCTACAATTCATTACAAACTCATCAATTATTATCGACTACAGAACTTACCACCATCTTATTGCAGAGCTCAAATTTGCTCAGACAACCAATCATAATTGTAACTGATGAACCTTACAAATAATGTATGAAAAAATAATTTATTTTATTTATACAAAGTCAAGTCAATACAAGAACATAGTTTATCAAATTCTTCTTCATCATCAATCCTGATTGCATCATCGCTGCTGCTACCATGACGACTGTTACCATGACAACCATTGTCCCTTGTATTTGTCGTAAATGATTCTGGTACAAATGATGAGTGTGTTGTTCCGCTGGTGAATGATTTATTATTAGTAGCAGTGAATGAGAAGGAAGATGTCTTCTTCTTGTAACAATGTGATCTTTTATTTGAAGAGTTCATAGCAATACTCCCATCAAGAGTGGTTTGTCTATCAACAGATCTCTTACAAGAAACAATACCAGAACTGCTACTGTTCCTTCCTCTTTCTTTATATCTCACTTCTTCTTCTTCACTGCCGATTGAAGAACAGCTGCTCCTATTAGTCCATGGACTGTCCTGTACTGATTCATTGGAGGGGATATTGTGTGATTGAGTGAGTCTCTTTATATTAGGAGGAGGCAAAGGACTCCAAGTGGAGGAAGACGAGGAAGAAGAAATTGTGTACAATAACTAAAATAATAAAATAAATAAATAAATACAGAAATAATCAGATACGACCAAAGTCCCTGTACTGATCAAAATTAAATCTTTTTTAGAGTTTCTCCAAAATCAGATCAAAATATAGTACAAGGATTTTGGCCAAATTTCGCCGCCAAAATACAAAAGTAGAGAATTTCTCAATTTTTATTACATTTTCTGATGCATATACATGTCCTTATGCAGTGTAGAAAGTTTGAGCTGATTCCGATCAAAATTGGATTTTTTACGAATTTTTAAAGTCGCTCCAAAATCGGACAAAAGTCCCTGTACTATAGTACATGGTCTCGGGCAAATTTTGCCAAAAATAGAAAGTAGAGAATTCTCCATTTTTATTACATTTTCTGATACATATATATACATGTTCTTATGTTGTGTAGAAAGTTTGAGCTGATTCCGATCAAAATTGGATTTTTTACGAATTTTTAAAGTTGCTCCAAAATCGGACAAAAGTCCCTGTACTATATAGTACATGGTCTCAGGCAAATTTTGCCAAAAATAGAAAGTAGAGAATTCTCCATTTTTATTACATTTTCTGATACATATACATGTTCTTATGTTGTATAGAAAGTTTGAGCTGATTCTGACTTTAATTATTCAAGTTATGGCCGTTTTAAGTAAATGCCAAAAATCTGAAAAACACCCAAGGCTATAGTCCATGGTTTTTCCAAAAAATGGCTCCGGAATCAACCCAAATTTTTATTACATTTTCTGATACATATTGATGCCCTTATGCTGTGTAGAAAGTTTGAGCTGATTCTGACTTTAATTATTCAAGTTATGGCCGTTTTAAGAAAATGCCAAAAATCTGAAAAACACCCAAGGCTATAGTCCATGGTTTTTCCAAAAAATGGCTCCGGAATCAACCCAAATTTTTATTACATTTTCTGATACATATTGATGCCCTTATGCTGTGTAGAAAGTTTGAGCTGATTCCGACTTTAATTATTCAAGTTATGGCCGTTTTAAGAAAATGCCAAAAATCTGAAAAACACCCAAGGCTATAGTCCATGGTTTTTCCAAAAAATGGCTCCGGAATCAACCCAAATTTTTATTACATTTTCTGATACATATTGATGCCCTTATGTCGTGTAGAAAGTTTGAGCTGATTCCAATCAAGTGTGGACATTTACGAATCTTTAAATTTGCTTAATAATTAATTAATTAATAATATTAATATACTAACATTAGTTGCTGGCAGTTGAGTAGTTTCTTTCTTTGAGATGAACTTGTAAAACAGTTTCCTACCAAAGAGCAAGTAATAGTCTACATAAGTCAGTCTGTAGGTACACTATACCTTGAGTCAAGGGACAGAAGACTCTTCCTGTTGTCTGGTAGCTTGTCTCTTTCTTTTTGCTCTCTCTCTCTCCCTCCTTCTCTCTCTCTTCTCGTCTCTACTGGTTTCTTTTTGCTTTTTAAAGAGAGCAAGACCTTCCTTCCAGTTGCCATGGTAAAGAGAGACGCCCCTTGTTATTTTAATCTTCTTTACAAAAAATAATCAAGTTCAAGATGGATGGAGACAAAGCATTCAACGGAATCAATGCCAAATACCAAGAGTTGAGGGTAACATCCTGCCATACACTCTCTGTATCCCTCTCTCCCCCTCTCTCTCCCTCTTAGAGCAAGTATGAAGAACTGAACGAGGCTCGTTTAAATTTGTCTGGATTAGAGAAGGATTGCTTGAGTTCAGTGTCTAAACTCTCAACTGAAGGAAAGGAATACCTCAGGACTGAGAAGAGTTTGTATGGCACATGATAATGATACATGTACTTGTACACTGTATTCTATTACACGATTATTAGGAGTAGTGATGAGAAGACAGATATTAGAAATATGTTAGCAACTTTGAATGACATGAAAAGCACCTTTAAACAGCCACCAATGTAAGGATTTTAATCAATAATAATAATAATAGTTATTATTATTATTTTCTGAAGGTTTATTCTTGCTCAGATAATTGGTAATATCAATGTGACATTGAGCAAGAGTGACAGGTTGGTGTATTGTTTAATGTAATTCTGACATTGATCATGATTGTAGACTTGAATATAAACAAGAATATGAGAAATTTAAATTATTTAATATCGGACTAATGACTGTCCTGTCTATTGGTAGTCTCGTCTTCTTTGAATATCAGTGAATATTACTATTATTGTTGTTATTATTATTATTATTATTATTATCAATTATTATTGTTGTTATTATTATTATTATTATCAATTATTATTGTTGTTATTATTATTATTAATAGGCTCCCCAGTGCGTTGCTCCACTGTGCCAGTGTTTGGTATTATTTCACAATAACACTAAGAGAAATGGTTCTATTGAGTAACGGATCAAAGTACATTGCCTACTTGTTCTCTCTTAGAGTATTGGTTTGTGTCTGTGCATCTCCTTAGGATCAAGTGGTGGTGGTTGGTCCACCATTATGGCAGTATCACAATGGCTGGTGTATTCCTCATGTGGTAAGTGGAACATTTCAGCTGTGTTTAGGTATTTGGCGTATTCAGGCCACCTGGTGACTGTTATTCAGCCTTTAAAGTTCAGTTCATTTTATTTACAATCTGCTTAAGTAAATGATGTGACATTATTATATTTTTATTATAAATGATTATTAAAGGCTGTGTAATGGCTTTGCAATTTGTCTATCAAAGAGCAAAACTTTATCGTCAAATTGCAATGGGAAAGACCCACCACATGATGGTGACTCAAGGTGTGTAGTGGGCGGGGACTATGACTAAACCTTATTGTATCATTTTAGAATCAAGAGTTGGAATTGTTTTTGATTTCTCATTTCTAGTGATTTGTCTCATAGGAATATACGTATGTACAATGATAATAATAATAATAATAATAATTGATATTTTCAATGTCTAGATATTCCAGTTTTACAATGCCTACACTCTGTATGCAATGATTTATGCAATTGAAGACTGCCAGAAGTGGCAGGTTAGTACTGTCCAGCTAATACCTGATCTATTTTCATTTATCATGTTTTAGGTTGGACTAATCAGCATTTTGTTCTTCTTTCTTGCATTATTGAATTCTTATACACTTATCTCTATCCTTTATTCAAAATTGAACTCTTTTATTTCTGGAAAAGCAAAGAAACAATCTTAAATAACAGTTGATTCTATTGAATCTCTTCTTCTCTCTCTCTTTTCATAAAGTAATTCATGTCAGTTTTTGTTTTAATAAAGCAAGACTGTAGCCATAGCAACGATACTAATATACGCAGCATACTAGCATTAGTCATGATGGTAGCATTAATAGCAATAGCAATAATAATAATAATAATAATAATATTAGTTATGGTATGTGACTGCTAGTTGTATGGTGCCATAGATCATTCCTCCATTTCTCAGTGGGAGGAGTCTTACAGCAGGAGGGGAACGGAGTACAACCAGGAGAAGCACACGGGTTAAGACTTGAGGAGGATCCAGCATGCATTTGAGACTCACCCCAAACCATTCCTTTCTCAAATTCATCTTTTAATTTGTTAAGCTCAGCCATTACACTTTTATATTCATCACTAGTTCCATCAATTGGGTATACCTCACTTGGATCATTCAATAGGTTGTAGAGCTCTGGTGGGTCTACTGCTCTCTCTGAATAGTTGGATCTGCAGACAATGTCAGGGTAAGTATTCTGACAATGGCTGCCCTCCTGATAGTAGTGGGCCTTGTACTGCTGGTTCCTTACTGCATAAAGACCTTTGCTCGGGTCTGGGTTCTTTGGATAATAAAAGTAAGCTTCCCTAAGACCTGGTTTGGAGTGAAAGAGTATTGGTGACATGTCATATCCGTCCAAAGAGACATTAGGTTTTGTTGCTCCAGTTATTTTAGCAATGGTTGGTAGAAGGTCCACTGTAGCCGCTAGAGAAGCTGTTCTTCCTGGAGATATCATGTTAGGCCACCAAGCAATGGCTGCCTCTCTTTGTCCTCCTTCCCAAGTTGTTCCTTTACCACATCTTAACAGTCCACCATTCCCTCCATGGGGTCCCATGTGAAGTGAGGGGCCATTATCTGCAGTGAAGAATACAAAGGTATCATCAGACACACCTGATTCATGCAGTGCTTCCATTATTTCACCAACTTGCCAGTCCAGCTCACTGAGTGAGTCACCAAAAGGTCCCCTAATGCTACTATTGACAAACTCTTGGCCTGAAAACTGCGGCTTGTGTGTGTGCTGGAATGCCATGTACAGGAAGAATGGAGTCTTACTTGCTGCATTTGATTTTATGAAACTAGTAGCAGCTCCTGAATACTTGAGTGCCATGTGAGTGAAGTCAGCAGGTTGCTGTACTATCTTATCATTTTCAAATATCGGACAAGGACTGTAGGCTCTATCACAGCCACTGAGACAACCTGCATTTGGATAGAAGCATATTGGACAGGGGCACATGTCGTGAGAGTAAGGTATTCCCATGTAGTAATCAAACCCGTGATTGGTAGGTAAGAAGTTACCATTCTCACCAACACCCAAATGCCATTTACCAACAATAGCTGATTTATAACCTAATGGCTTCAGCATTTCTGCTATGGTGGTCTCATTATGAGGGAGACCTCCTTTATTGGGAGGGACAAACACTCCAGGCCACACTCCTGTCCTAGTCTGGAGTCTGCCAGTTAGTATGGCAGCTCTTGAAGGAGAGCAGACAGGACTGGCTGTATAAAACTGACTGAATACCAATCCTTGGGAGGCCAGTGTGTCCAAATTTGTTGTGTTTGATGTTGGATGTCCATAATAGCTCAGGTCCCCGTATCCCAGATCATCAGCAAACAGTAGCACAATGTTTGGCTGGTTCCCTATCCCCTGGGGAAGGAGAGAGGAGAGGACGAAGAAGGAAAGAACTGAAATGACCTTTTGCTGCATTGTAACTACTAACGCCCACTCACTAAGGTGGGGCTCATGGGGCGTGGCTCAATAATTGAGCTATTGCTTAATTAAAAAGATGTCTGGTAAGACAAAGTTTTGTTACTATTATTATTATTATTATTATTATCATTATTATTATTATTATTATTATTATTATTATTATTATTGTTATTATTATTATTATTATTAATTACCAGATCAAAGAGCAAAAGGTCCAACTGATCGTCTTCCATCACTCAAAGGAAAGAGAGACCTCACACTGGGAGGAGTCAAAAAGGTTTGAATATTGATTAATTAATTAAGTTTGTGTGTTTCTAGAAAGTATATGTTCCTAATATTCCAGTACGTAGACCAAAGCCTGAGGCTCCACCCAAAACACAGGAATCCACACCCACAATTAAACCAGTGCCATCATCAAAATCTAAAAAGGCCCCACCTCTTGAAAAGGGGAGGGGCAAGAGAAGACGTGAGATAGTGACATCAGCTTCAGTGTTTAGTATGGGACCAGCCGAGGGAGCAAGAGGAAGGGGAGGGGCTACTTTTGGATCAGTAAAGAAAGACACTGTAGTTAAAGAAGAACGTAAATCAAAGTAATAAGTATTAATAACTTTTAATAACTATCAATAACTATTAGTAATAGACCAATAAAGAGAGAGGTTGAAGGAGATTATGAATCAAGTGGTGAAGAAGGAGAAGTAATTAATTATTTTTAATTAATTTATTGTTATTAATTATTAGGCTAGTCTCCATAGATCTGATATTGCATCAGTTTTTTCTTCATGCCCCCTCCCTCCTGTGCAGCTGCCATTGAAACACTTCTCTAGTGACAAAGAGAAACCATTGGCTCTGAACATACAAAGTAGCTGATGATGATACTTCTAACCTATTGTACTGTATTGTATAGTAAAGGAAGAACCAATGGATACTGATATGGTACTGGTCAAACCAGTTCATCCTGTTTCAGAAACCAGTCAGACCAGTCCTTCGGAGATATTCCAACCAACAGAAGTAACAGTCAACCGAATTATTAATAGTTAATTATTAATTAATTGATAGGAAGGGAAAGGACAATTCCTTTTATTTCAGTTGCCAGACTGTCTACCGTTACCCTCTCTTTCTCCTTCACCTGATGTTAGTATCCTAATAATAATACTAATAATGTCCTAATAATATCCTGATACTGATACTAATAATATCCTAATGTAGGAATCAAGTTCCATTGTAACTGGTAGTTTAAGAGATATCCCTGATGGGCTGATAGGGAGGCTGTCAGTTTACAAGTCAGGGAGAGTCAAGTGAGTGTCCAGTTATTAATTCATAAGCTCATCCACTACCACACACTAGTATAGGCCTGGGGGATGTGTCTCTTAATGTTGCCATGGGAACGAGAGGTGGTTTCTTACAAGAGATAGCGTCACTTAAGTCAACAACTGGTGAAGGATCATTCATTCCACTAGGGCACTTGTCACATAAACTAAACTGTACTCCTGACCTTGAATCACTAGGTTTACATACTGAAAGATAATGATACAATTTCAAAGTAGAAGTTGCCATTGGAATGGAATGTAAAAATTATAGAAAATCCAAAATTGATCAGAATCCACTCAAATTTTCTACACAGCATAAGTACATGTATATGCATCAGAAAATGTAATAAAATTGAGGAATTTTCTACTTGTCAATTTTGGTGAAATTTTACAAAAATCCCTGTACTATAGTACAGGGACTTTTGTTTGATTTTTGAGCAAAATTAAAAAAATCATAGAAAATCCAAACTTGATCGGAATCAGCTCAATCTTTCTACACTGCATAAGTACATGTATATGCATCAGAAAATGTAATAAAATTGAGGAATTTTCTACTTGTCACTTTTATGAAATTTTACAAAAATCCCTGTACTATAGTACAGGGACTTTTGTCCGATTTTTGAACAACTTTAAAAAATCTTTAAAAATCCAAACTTGATCAGAATCAACTCAAATTTTCTACACTGCATAAGTACATGTATATGCATCAGAAAATGTAATAAAATTGAGAAATTTTCTACTTGTCACTTTTTATGAAATTTTACAAAAATCCCTGTACTATAGTACAGGGACTTTTGTCTGATTTTTGAACAACTTTAAAAAATCTTAAAAAATCCAAACTTGATCGGAATCAGCTAAATCTTTCTACACAGCATAAGGACATCAATATGTGTCAGAAAATGTAATAAAAATTTGGAGTGATTTTTTGGCCATTTTTGTAAAGATGGTATGTTACTTACAGTAAGTTGGCCCATTCCTTTACACAGGAGGTCTGCGCATGTGCAGTAGACACCACTCAACCTTCTGCACATGCAAAGAAGTATTGCGCAATCTCCTTAATTCATTTATTAATAATACATTCTTTAGAGTAATAACGTCACTACTGCCATTATCGCACCTAATAGTTAGCTAAATAGTCATTGTTATTGTTATAATAAACTTGATACTACACTAAAATACAGGTAAAACAGTCTACACACCACACAGTAATTAAACAACAGTTAAAATTATCTCAGTATATACAGTAATGTTGTACAATTAAAAAGATATAATGAATATAAGCTGTCCTATCTTGGTAAAAGATGATCTATCCCCTTGAGAAGGAGTAAGACTTCGTTAGTGTACATCAAAGTCCATCTCACTATAAATAGAACAGTGAAAACACTAATATACAGCAGTTAAAACAGTATTGTACTGTATTTTAAACCGTACTTTACCTAATTGTACACGTTCAGTAATACAGTAAAACTCATAAGCTTATACAGTAGTTATACATACACAATAATACATACAGTATTGATCTATAGTGTAATTACAGTTGTAATGGATGAGGTAAGTACTTGCAATTCAACTTTACTATCTTTGTATTTTTCTGCTTATTATTTTGCTATGTTACAGCAGGAAACCAGTGTTGAAAAGTAGTCTAGATGATCAGAATTATCTTGCAATTTGTTTAGAAAGCAGTTAAACCGTCAAGTTTTTCTTTATAACCAGCAGTCGAGCAGACATCTTTGGTTTATTAACCATTTGCCATGCCCATGTAAAGCCATGGCGACCACCTGTCTGTTACATAGGCATTGGGTTGGTAAACAATGGGTACCTGCTCTTGGCTGCTGGAATGGCTTATCATCTTCCAGGGGAATCTCTTCCTCTAGGTATTTTAAGTTTGTACCGGATTATTTTTATTTATTTATTATTATGTTGACTCAAGACTAATAGAAATCGGTTGTATGAATAAGCCAAAGTTGTATGAAAGCTATTCATCAGGTCAGGTAGAGATGATCTTCTTAACTGTTTCCTTATTTTTGTTAATGCAGCACTTTCTGCACCGAGTGTTTGGGTACCGTGGAGTGATACTCTTTCATTGGGTCTCTCGGGTTTACGATCATGACAGGCACCAAAAACCTTCCAAGTATCGACTAGCTGGTTTATTATTAAAGTATTATTATTAATCAAACAGTGTTGGTAAATGGGATGAAGACTGTATGTCTGGGGAAGTCATGAAGGAACTAAAACCCGAACATCAAACGTTTTATCAAGTATTGATAGATCAGAGGGACATATCACAAGTTACTATCAATTATAATTATATATAATTGATTATTTATTAGAGGACATCTCGAAACGCTGTTACGCTGAGTTCTGTATCTAATAAAAAGAAGTTATACTGTATACCAGGTACAATAATGACGATAGTTAATGTCATTATGGAGTGTATAGGATTAGACTATGTGAATCACGAGGACATACTCCCTTATACCCCGAGTCCCAATGCGCTGGTCCAACATAAACTCTTTCAAACCTTCTTTTCTCCTTCTACTGATGGTCAGTCATTATTATAATTTTGAATATCATTAAGTATAGGTAATTCACCAATAATTACAAAGGACTTCCTCTCCTCTTGGCATCAGAAGCACATTTGTTGGTTGGAAAGGATTGAAATACATAGAGAGACTACCTTTAACATCAGGATCACTGTGATGCCATTTTATATGGGAGCAAAAGTACAAGTAAATGTAATTATCGGTTTTTGTTTTATTATTAGTAATGTATACAGGATGAAATATTGTCTACGGAATATTGGGTATGTGTCATCAAGTTAATGTGCAGAGTATTATGAACTGATTATTATTATTATTATTATTATTATTATTATTATTATTATTATTATTATTATTATTATTATTATCATTCATACAGTGGCAGTATTGTATTAGACTGGAGAATATCAGTGGATCCACAGTGCAGCTGCGTAAGAGGCACTGGCGTATTTATAATAGGACAGAGTCTTTACTGGAAACTGTTAAAGGAGAAGGTGTGGTAGGACAGCAGCCGATATTGTCAATAAGGCAACCAGCATACCAGTACAACTCGCACGTGTCACTCAAACAAACAAATGGACTAATGTGGTAATGTGTACGTGTTGTATCTTGTTTATTTGTTTGTTTATTGTCAGGGGTACTTTTCAAATGGAAAGAGAAGACGGTTTTCTATTTGACATCAGAATACCACCTTTCTCATTGGAAGAAACATTATAATCAACTCTTATTTAAAGAATTCATAAATTATTTCCTATTTAGTGCATAAATAGAACACTTATGGTATTGTAGTCCCAGCTGTGGCCAGTAGTCCTGACTGACTGTTGGTTTGTCCTTAGTAACAAAGAGAGGGAGAGGGACGATTAATACAGGTAATTGAAAGAAGTATAGTATTTCAAAGAGGAAAGATAATAATCGTATTGCCTTCACTTTTGTGTTGTGTTAACAAGTTTATGGTGTGAATCTCTTTTATTATAGATATGGCTACCAACATGGACATGTCTACTAGACTGTTTCAAGCCTCACTGTGTCAGAGCCGCTCACTAGTTGATAACTTAGAACCAGCCACTGCTCGACTAGTGGCTGACCTACAGAAACAAATTGATAAGCTAAAGGGAGACATAGAGATTGAAAGGAACAGGTGTCGTTCAATGGCCAGAGATCACCTTGTGGAGTTGAAGAGATTGAGAGAAGAACAAGAATACAGATTAGAGGCTAGTCTAGAGGCACAGGGACAGAGAAAGCAAAGTGAAAAGATAATGGAATTGAAAAAACTAGAGGAGACACTTCGTAGAGAGAAAGAAGTAGCCATTAGATCACTAACAAGAGAGAAAGGTGACGAACTGAGAGCCATGGAAAAGAAATTAGCAGCAGAATATGAAGAGAAATTACGTTACGCAGTCGAACAAGAAAGAAGACAAGCATTTAATGAAGCACAGGCACAACTACCGGACGAAGGAGAACTCATAGCACGAGAGACAAAACTAGCAAAGGAAGTATTTTCACTCGGAGGAGAAAACATGAAACTTGAAGATCAGGTGAGACACTTGAGTGTGGAGAACAAGTCACAGATTGACATGATACGACGGATGAAGAAAGAGCATGAAGCAGAAATAGACTCACTTCTGCGTAAGAATAAGTCAGAGGCTGCGAGAGACAGCGCGAGGTTGAGACTGGGGGAGCAGATCATTCAAGAGAGAGAGGCAGAATACATGGAGATGTGTCAGAGAGCAGAAGCAGCTGAAAATGAATCAGCAGAATTACAAAAGGAATTGCTTGTGTTGAGGGCAATGACTGATAGTACTGGTGATAAAGTAAAGAAAGACAACTCACCTCAAACAGCAAGAGTAAGTGTATAATGTAATAAACTAACCTCTTGACAGTAATTGTACATCCAACAATTCTTACCTGATGATCACTATACCCTTCATCTCCCTCTCTCTCTCTCTCTTGTCATGTGTTGTTGTTTGTTTTTTGTTAATTTGGCACACATTCAGTGTCAATGTCCTTTGTATAATAAACAATTACTATTTGTTAATAATTTATTTATTTTTATAGCGTTCTGGTAGTTTATTGAAGCAAGTGGAAGAATTGGAATATTCTGTGAGAAAGTTGGAGGATGACAAATCTGTTCTTAAACAAGAGAATGCCTCACTAGTGAGTACATGTAGCTAATGAGGTTTGATGCGTTAAGAGTATGTTGACACACATTGTTGGTCCCTTTATAGAGAAAGAGGTTATCACAGGAGGCAGAGGGTAAAGGACTCAAGGAAACTGACGATAAAATGAAGAGACTCCGCAAGAGAAATGCTGACCTCGTCACTTTAACCAAAACGCTTGAAGAAAGATGTAAAGTGTTGAAAATGGAAAATACTAAAATGGTTTGTAATGAATTACATGTAAATGTGCGTCATTGTGGTGTATTCTGCAGCAAGAGAAGCAGGTTTTGAACAATAGCGACATTGAACAACAGATTAGGAAGACTTTGTCAAGACAACATGCAAAAGATATTTCAGACTACACTAGAAAGATAGCATCCAGGGACAGAGAAATAGTTGAACTGAAGAGGAAACTGTCAAAAGTACGCAGTTATTAATAGTTATTAATAGTTATTAATTATAGTATGAGGTCACTGGGGGTGTGGCTAGATCAGAGCATTCCAGTGAAACTGCTAAGAAGATGAAAACAATTTCTCTTGAGAAACTAAAAGCAGAAAAACTGATAGCAAAGTTATACAGTGTAAGTACTAGCTATGCATGTATGGTGTACTAATGTGTAATGAATGTAGCATCTACCAGCTGATGCTGACGTGCAGTTAAGTATTAAAGAGTTTTCCAGTGAAGCAGTTACCATTGAACAACTGGCAGAGGAAAACATTAGTTTACATAAACAACTTTCACTTATGAACGATGAGATTGATGGTGGGCGTGTCAGTGAAAGGCGTGGTTTACATAAAGTGGGATCTGTTGGTAGCATCACTCCAAGCACAGTGAGTGTATCCTTTAGTCAGAGACAGTCTCTACATGCAGTTCCTTTGTATCTAGACCAACACTGATATAGAGGCAGTGAGAGAGCTAAGGGAAGAGAATTACAAATTAAATCAGAGAATTGATGAATTAGCAAAATCTGAGCGCGAAAAGGAAGACCTTAACAACCAGCTGGTTGATGTGCAGCTAGCAGCAACCTCTTACGAGAAAAAATTAAAAATATTGGAAGAGGATTTGGAACAAGCACGTTGTGTGTCTCAAGTAAGTGGGTTTGGTTTGTGGGCGTGGTTTATCATCATTAGGACTATGAGAGGGCACAGGAGCACTGCTCTGAATTGGAAGAGGAAATATCACGAGCGAGAGGCCTCCTGAATGATAAGGATAGAACTATATGTCAGTTTGAACTTGTAAGAAGAATAATGTTCATTAATGACACGCCCACCATCATCACTTAATGAATTATTGCTAAATGTATACAGTGTGTGTTTACACTTAACTTGTTTATTTATTACCATATTAGGAATTGCAAACTCATCGTGATCAATTGAAAGAAAAAGATGAAGAGATAGCGTCGTTAAAAGTAATGAATAATTAATTTATTGATTAATTATTATTTAATTAATTAAGGATCGCGTCCAACTATTGAAAAGTGAAGTTTCAAAAAGTGAAGAGTTGGTTCTTGAACTGCAAGGAGCAGTGGACCTCCTGTCTCAGGCTCCCGATACTAACAACACCTACATACAGACCTCTCCTCTCTTCTCTCCTCAGAGATACCAAAAATCATCACAAACCTCTCCTGCCTCTGTTAGAGTAACCACGATAATAGAGGAGAACACACCTAGCAACCAACAGGAGAGTTCACCTAGCAACCAGCAGGGGAGCGCCCCTGGCAACCAACAGGAAAATGTCCCTAGCAACACTGCCCCTAGCAACCAGCAGGTGGTCTATGATCTTCACAGTGAACTGGCGGAGGTGGGTGTGTCTGTTTCTGATTCTTATGATTCACAAATGGACACTAGTAACGAGAATCTGACCAATCAGATTAGTTCCGATAGTACTACACAAGACAACAGTTTATTTGAAGTGGGTGTGGTCAATAGCGATAAGGTCACACCTACTTTTGATGTGTCCAGTGAAGCTGTTTCGTTGTATATTGTGTGTGATGATTATCATCCATTAACAATGTCCCCTAACCCGGACAGTGAGAGAGAGCTCTCGCTGAGGAAAGGTGATTATGTGTATGTGGACGGGTCAATAGACGAGGTTGGCTTCTATACTGGGTATAACCCTCAAGGTAGAAAAGGTCTCATTCCTTCTAATTATGTAAAGAAACTGACTAATGATAATTGTAAGTCTGTTCTTATTATTATTATTATTATTATTATTATTATTATTATTATTATTATTAGTTAAATCATCGGCTGTAGTACATTCCCAGGTCCCATTCACCCTCCCTCCTCCTCTTAATCTTGAGATGGTTCAACAGAGTGTTCAAGATGATTCTTATTCCGTTACTATCAAATGGGATCATCCTAAGCTCCTCCCACTGGCGTCATATCGGGTCTATGTTAATAGCCAATTAAGAACCACTGTATCTAATAATAGTAACAGTACTGTATCTAATAATAGTAACAGTACTGTATCTAATAATAGTAACAGTACTGTATCTAATAATGGTAACACTACTGCTGTATCATTAACTAATGTACCAAGACATGAGGTAAACTTGTTGTTGCTTTGTTTGTTGTTGTTATTGTTGTCCAGTTTGTTTACATTTCAGTTCGTACTTGTATGAATGACTTGGAATCACCAGACCCTCAGAAAATGATTGAAATTAATCCACGTTAGTTTTTTAATTTACGTTTATTTATTTATTTACTTATTTCTTCAGAGCTCCCTGAGGTTCCCATTCAGTTAAAGGTACAGCTAGTTTCTCCGTTATTATACCGGTTGTCATGGAAACTGTGTCGTTTTCCCGCCCCCACTCTTAATTACGAGTTATTTATTAACGAATCTGTCCTATTGAAGAAGGTGTCTAGTGAAAGCCTAGTCCTTGATGATGATGGAGAGTATTTCATGAGCCTAGGACCAGAGGACGTACAGTCCATGGACACATCAGCTCCCTATACAATGAGCCTGAGGGTCACTGATGGACCAACTGTATCTCCTTATTCAGCCTCTCTTCCTCTCCCGTCCGAATTGATACTTCTAATTAAAGAGCACCAAGAAACTACATCATCCAGTACTAGTGAAGTGGTTGGGGCTTATAATGAAGTAGGTGTGGCTAGTAGCAGTATCACTAGTAACAGTGAATCCTCTCTACCTGAAATTATACAAGGTATCATCAGAAAATGTAATAAATTGAGAAATTCTCCTTTTCAATTTTGGCAAAATTTGACCAAAATCTCTGTACTGTAGTACAGGGACTTTTGTCCGATTTTAGAGCAACTTTAAAGATTTGTAAAAGAGCCAAACTTGATCAGAATCAGCTCAAACTTTCTACAAAACTTAAGAACATTTATAAGTCAAGTATCAGAAAATATTATAAAATTGTAGAATTCTGTCCTAGTCATTGCTGTTTGAGTGTGGGATGGTTTCTGGGGAACATTAAATTGAAACTGCTCTCATGTATTCTAATTTTTGTGGTTTTCCCATTTATTTTTTGTTATAATAATTATTTAATTAATATTAATTAGTATTTTATTTGTACTATTCTCTCCTTGTCTCTCTCAATCAGTGTCAGTTGGTTCCTTGTATCGTGCTCTCTATTCGTATGACCCTTCCGTGAGCTCACCAAACGGAGAAGGAGCTGGCGACGAATTAACTTTTTATGAAAACAACATCATTAAAGTACTTGTTGTATATCAATCATGAGATTCATGTACATCTTGTCTTGTGTTAGGCTCTTGGTGAACTAGATGAGGATGGGTTCTTCCTTGGATCATGCAATGGAGCTGAAGGATTGGTACCCAAGAACATGGTCCAACTAATTACTCATGAAACTGATGGATCTTCTGGTTATTATTATTCATTTTATTTATTGATTTATTTGTTTGTAGATTATGATCATTCGGTTTCCAATGGCAACTATTCTGTACATCTCGTAAAGGCTCTTTACGATTATGAGCCCAAGACTCAGTCCCCAAACGAAGAGTACCAGGAGGAGCTGTCCTTCACTAGTGGGGACTATATCACTGTCTATGGGGAGCCAGTCGACGGGTTTTATGAGGTATGTGTGGTCATTATTAATGAATACTAATGAGGTTCTTTAGGGTGAGCTGAATGGTTTGAAAGGTTACGTTCCAAAGAGTTTTGTGGAACCAGTTTCCAATTCTTTTTTATTAAAATCACTGAGCGGCAGCAGTCTACAAGTAATTGACATTATGATTAATGAAAATGTTAACTTTTATCTATTAATATAGAACCAAACTGAACAAACTGATAATATTGAGAGTTGAATAGTTCTTATTGTATTATAGTATTAGTTGGTTAATTATGTTTTTGTTATTTTTGTATTAAAAATGAAAAAAAACATATGTCATGAAGCTCCTCCCTTTTCCTCCAGGATGTCCTGCTACACAACATCTCTGTCTCTCTCGCTCTGTGTCAGTTACCGAAAGACACAACACAAGGAGAAGTGTATAAAAGCTGGTCTGTAAGTCGGTTACTGGAGTAGTTTGGTCTTCTTTGATCAATAATGTTCAAGTTTCTTTTGATTCTTTATGCTATATTCCTAGCTGAGGCTCTGCCTGCCGGACCTACAGTTCCGTCAACTGTAGAAGAATGGGAGTCAATGGTGGAGCATGAGATTAGCAAGAGGAGGGAGTCCAGGGGACTGCCCTTGCAGGAAGATGAAGCTGTCTACGTTACTGATCTTAAGGATCACTACACTGAAGCATTCACTAATATCAATGATCTTGCTGCTGTGGAAGAGTCTTTCTATCCTTCCGGTAGAGAGATGACCAGAGAGAGGAAAGTGAAGGCCCGTTACATTGTGTTTATGACGGAGGAGTCGACTGACCACCACCTGGACAGGGTAGTGAGAGTGCTGGAGAAGGCAAATAGGGAGAGTAATGGTCACTATGTAGCTAAACACATCAAGAAGATACGTTATGTTGGGAAGGGATTCTCAGCTACTCTGAGTAGCAGCGTGGTGGAATTGGTAAGTACTTGTTCTTGTTAATGATGGCATACTCATCACACATAGCTGTTCAGTTTAATTACCATAATAATCCGTGACAGTGTTTTCCTTATTTGATTATAGTGTACAGTAAATACAGTGTACTATAAGATAATTATGCATGGTATTTCTTCCTTTATGCAAGCACAAACACAAACAAAAAGGCAATCACAATATGGCCCTGCTTTTAATATGATTCTGTACCTGGAGTGCGTCCAGGTGTTAGTCTTCCTTGAAACCTGCCAGTAGTATCATAGTAGTAATGTTTGGCATCATTTCTTGTCTTTTCTCTCCTTATTGTAGTTGAAAAAACATCCACAATCTTACAGCATTGAAAGTGATCTTGTCATCAAGAGAAACAATCAGGAATCGCGTTATGAAGAATTAGACGAGTTCCTTACACAACAGGATGAGGAGAGCACCGGGGCCAAGACCAGCTCTGGAGTTGAGTGGAATCTTGATCGTATTGACCAACATGACGGGCTGAACGGAGCTTACAATCCAAAAGGAAATGGAAAAGGAGTTGATGTCTATATCCTGGACACTGGAATACGTTACACTCATGACGAGTTTCAAGGAAGAGCCAAGTACGTTGGCTATGATGCTATCGATGAACTGGTAAAGACCAACTCTCCCAAGAAGGGACTGGATTGCAATGGACACGGGACACACTGTGCAGCTACTGTTGGTGGTAAAACATACGGAGTTGCTAAAGGCGTCGCTCTTTATAGTGCCCGTGTTCTGGACTGCACTGGGACCGGGTCCATTGGAGGTATTCTGGATGCAATGAACTACATCATAAAGAAAAGGAAGACATCAGGGACTAGCAGGAGGGCTGTCTTCTCCATGTCTCTTGGAGTTAAGAAGAATAAAGGATTCAATCTTGCAGTCAATAATGCAGTGAAGGCTGGGATTGTTGTAGCATCTGCTTCTGGTAACCAGATGAGTGATTCCTGCATGTACAGTCCTGGGAGTGCTGAGCTCTCTATATCAGTGGCTGCCAGCAGTAAGACTGATGAAAGTGCTTCATTCTCTAACATTGGCCTCTGCACTGATATCTATGCTCCAGGTTATGATATACTCAGTGCTGGTCATGATTGCGATTCCTGTACAGCCTCAAAGAGTGGGACATCAATGGCCTGTCCTCATGTTGCTGGCTATGCTGCCATTGTCCTTGGTCTCAATGGCCAATACAGTCCCAGTGACGTGAAGAAGGAGATGATTAAAGTCTCTAGCAAGAAGAAGATTAATATGAATGAGATGACAGCTAGCCTGGCCACTATGACGCCAAATAGGTTGCTCTACGTTGGAAAATGATTGGAATTTTACAAAACATCAAGAAACTGTTAATTTAATTAAATAATTTAATTTTAAATAATTCATTCATTCATTCAAGTCATTAGGACTTTTTCTTAGGCAGTTTTATCTCAGGATTAACTGTACTACAACATTGTTGATGATTTTGTAAAAATAAATTTTTAAAACAAAATTTTGAAATTTCGGGGTTTGGGGGGAAATTTTGATTAAAGTTTCTAATTAATGCCCATTAGTTTTGAGCGTGCGCAGTAAGTGATTGGGTGGAGTCCTTGGTACCGGATCAAAGGAGACACAGTCTCTGTTTACTGAACAAAGACATAAAGTGAGAAATAATTTCTTCCTTTACAATGGAAGGCTTTGAACTCAGTTCTTTCTCTGCATTAGTAACAGCTAGATTGACTGAGATACTTTTGCTGCCTCATACAGTGGAATACCATCATGTCATCAACGAACCAAGAAATAGAGCAGAAAGATGCAAATGAAGTAAACTATTGCGTACATGTACATGTATCTAACATCGATCTAACATGTTTCTTTGTATCATTATATATACCATATTCAAATTATTAATGACCAATAATTGTAGGTGGAGCCTAGTGAAGAACCTGCCACACCCCTCTCATCAGATAAAGAGAAGATTATTGAATTTGCCGATTTATATTCGATAGATTTAGCATGCGAGAGATTTGGAGTTACTAAAACTGTCCTCAGAGGATGGTTGAAGCAAAGGAACATTCCAATCAAACCAGTCTACAACTCCCCGGGTCAAGGGAGAAAGATCTCTTACTCAAGGGAACTCGACGGTCAAATAGCGGACCACGTGAGGTCCTTACTGGAGGCTGGGGAGAGAGTCTCTGTTCATGACGTTTGCACTTATGCTCGTAAGCTGATTCAAGAGGAGAACCCTGAGTTTACAGCATCAACCGGATGGGCTCAACGTTTTCTCGTCCGTAATAACATTGACCTCAGCTTTCAGTTGAGGAAGTTGATACCATCAAACAGGCAGACTGGTAGTAATGGCAGCCTTGTCTCGTCGACCCCCGACAACAGAGGAAGACCTTTATCATATCCGGCCCAACTGGACAACAGCATTGCTGACTGGGTGAGACAGAGAACTGCCAAAGGAGACACCGTTACTAACTCTGAGCTAAGGAAGCACGCCAAGGAAGTGATCAGTAAAGAGAATGCCAGTTTCACTGGGTCTGCCAGCTGGTCCCAGAACTTCTTATTGCGACACAGACTGAGTCTCCAACCAACCACGCCGACTAAGAACGAAGAGAGAGAGACCACACCTCCTAGAGAAGAGGAGGGGCAATCAGGACCTGGTCTGTTAGGAGGAGGAGGAGGAGCTGCTGTTGATGAAACTGTATCGAATACACTGGCACTGTTGACAAGTGAGGGGTTACCAGGTGTAGTTGAATCATCGTTATCTCAAGGATCTGGCATATCATTGTCTGATCTCACTAACGAGTCCATTATAGTTGATTTATTAAATAATAATAATCATGACTCGGCTACTAATTATTCACAACCGTCACTCGATTCTTCATCAGGTTTCATAACTCTGGGACAGCATCTCTCTGATCTTGTTAGTTCTGTCAATACATCGACCAATCAGAATACACTTGAACTAGCCACACCTACTCCAGCAGCCAGTGCTTCAAAGTCCCATAGTAGCTCCCCTGGGGATGTGATTGGTTCAGGGACACGCCCACTGTCTTATACTAAAGAGACAGACCAGCAGCTGGCTGACTGGGTCAAGGGGAAACAAGCAACTGGAGAAAAGGTGACGTTTGCCTCACTGAGGTCTCACGCTAGGAAAATAGTTTCATCAGAAAACCCAAATTTCAGTGCCTCGGTGGGTTGGGTCACCCCTTTCCTGCTCCGACATAATCTTGACCTGAAAATTAACAACAGGAAAATGAAGTCAACTAGAAAGACAAGTCAACCTCGCAAGCTCTCACCTAAAGACGAGCAGAGCCTTGACGAGACTGTACTGGAGGGATTAGGGGAGCAAGGGCTCACTGACACACCCTCTCAATTGACCAATCAGAATACAGACGACCCTTCACAACAGGAAGAGGTTGTCATGGTAACTGAAGTTAATGAAGAGAAGGTTACTCCAAAAGGTAAAGTGAAGAAAGGATCTCGTTCAAGACACACTCTAGCAGAGAAACTGGAGGTGGTCCGATTAATGAGAGAGTATAATCTGGCAGGGCACTACGTGAGCAGGTTATTGGGAATAGCTACTTCAACGCTGTCAGGCTGGGTCAAACTAGTGGATCAAAAAGGGACAGAACTTGAAACTCTCTCTACCAACAGGAAGAGATCAAATAGAGCAGGACAGGGCAGGCCTTTGACTTATTCCAGAGAGAAAGACGACATGATAGCTGACTGGGTTAGTATTGGTTTATTATTATTATTATTATTGTTATTATTATTATTATTATTATTATTATTATTATTATTATTATTATTATTATTATTATTATTAATTAGGTGAGACAGCAACAGGATGGTGGTGTTCCAGTAACTGCTAGTGATCTGTCGGCCTATGCTAGTTCTTTGATTGGAGAAGAGAACAACACTTTTGTGGCTTCAGTTGGTTGGAGGCACAAGTTCCTTCAGAGACACAACATTCAATTGCAGCAACTTCATTCTTCATACAAACCAGACCAGACCACCACTGACTCCCTCTGTGTCCCCATTCCAGTCCAAACTGAAGAGGTGATCTGTACTGATGAGTTCTCCATTGAAATGAATGACAAGCCGCTTCCTAGCGAGGTACTGACAGAGCTCCTGGCATGGGCAAGGGCTAGGATCAGTGATAATGGGAGTCTCTCAGTACAAGAATTTTGTTCCCACAGTGAAGAGGTCATACTACCAATGGACCCATTGTTTGTAGCCACTCTTGGCTGGGCCTTTAGGATCCTTCACACCAATGGAGTGTTCCTTGATCCTAAACCAACCACCATTGAGCTTGGAGGAAGGAAGAGGAGTAGTGGCCATGATGACAACAATGATCCTAACTCGATCAAGAAACCTTGTACTGAGCCTGTCTCTGATCCTGTCACTGGATCACCTCCTCCTCCGGTCACTGGAGGCACTTTATGTCAGGCACTCCTCTCTCTCTCTCAAGGACAGGAGGAACCTGTTGTCATGGAAACACAAGCTCCACCTACTCAAAGTGACCCACCCTCTCTCCCTCCTCCTACTGCTAAGAATTATTTTGGTAAATTAGCACGTGAATTCACGTCAGAAGAGAAAGAGGAGGTGGTCCGATATGCCAATGCCACTACACTGCAAAAGGCAGCATTGAGATATGGAGTGGCAGCTCCTACAGTTTGGAGGTGGAGAATGGAACTCAAACTACATCAACCAAAATACACCACAAACCAGAAGAAATATATCGTCAAGTTTGCTGAAACCAATTCACTGAAAGAAGCAGCTCAAAGGTTCGGAATAACAACCAAGACAGTTCAGAACTGGAGGAGGAGCCTTCAACTTGACGGGACATTGAGTGACGTTGAAATAGCAGCAATAGCCCCACCCATAATGATTGGAACAGAGGGGGAGGGGCTAACCACACCCACCAGTAATGGACTCATAACTGAGGAAGTGATTCCATTGGATAATTCTCATTTTCAGTTTGTAGTTGATGGAGGAGAAGTGGCTGAAGCAACCCGACCTCAAGTGGGTGTGTCTAACAATACCAACTCCTCTTCACTGGAGGTGGTGCAGGTACAGGACGTGGGTATGGAGTATGACGTGGTCTCCTCTGAAGGTCATGCAGCTAAACCAAGATGCACTCCCGAGGAAAAGAACCACATACTGCAGTATGCACTGGAGCACACCATCAGGGAAGCGTCAGTAAAATATGGAGTGAGTCCAGGGACACTGTACTACTGGAAGAAGAACCATCTTTCTTTAGCTAACGGACCAGGGGGTAAGGCCAGCAGCAGCAAAGGGACTGGAGGAAAGAGTGAAGATGCTACAGAGTCCAGTGCCAGTGGCATTGAACCAACAGTTGTTAGTGTACCGATGACAATGGACATATTAGCTGGAGGAGGGCCAGGACTGACTCCCGATCCATTGCAATCCTTATCCAGTGATGTACTGATTGATAGTAATGTCCCAACTGCCAGTCTCATAGCTGCCATTACACAGACCCTCGCCTCAGCTACTCCTGAACAGCTCCAAAGCTTACAACAGATCACTACCGACCTCAACCTCCTCCAAGCAGTCACCTCCATAATGAACACCAGTGAAGGAAGTGTTGTCAGTAGACCGGCCGAGGGACTGGGTGAGGGTATTTCATCTCCTACTGACGTCCTGGTATCATTCAACCCACTGACACGCTCAGGGACTGATCCAACCAATAGTGAAGCAGTTACCATGGTAACAGAAGAAACTACAACTACTGAGAAAAATATTGATGACATGAACTCTCAAGAAACTGAAAACTGAAACACATACACCTTGACAGTACACTAGTCCCTGCTAGCTCACATTAAGTTGTCTTTTGCTATCGTAATGTTCAACACACACACACACTAGGTTAGGTTTCATTATACATGCACATGTGTTTATGGAAGTAATTGTACACGTACATGTACGTTTATTTGTCAAAATTCAGAGTACTAGTGGCTTTTATCTTTAAAATTCCATAAACTAGTAGATTACTAATAGTATACGGAAACCACGTGTTAAAAGGAGTGGTTTACGATGGTATACAGTAGAGGGTCTGTGTCCCTGCTGAGTATAGTCTGCGTGTGGCTGTTCCTGGGGCTCCCAGTCTGGTGGAAGACCACAACAGTGTACAGGTCTACTCTCCCTCACTCCTGGATCACCTCCTTGCAGCATGAGCAACAGGTAACTCTATCTCCACCCACTTATTATTAATAATTGAATCAGGTTCTGTCGGTCCTGTCCTGCAATATTAGTGCCATCAGTTTAATCACTGGCCTGGACCTATCATCCTTTATTAAGAACACGTCTTATTTTACCAGTAAGCTGTCATCATAGTTGTTAATATTTTATTATTGGTAATATTTTATTAATTAATAGTATTTAATAAAGATTCAGTAATTAATGTACACTCATTAGTTAAAGAATATAGAGGTAATCTGTTGTCATGGTAACAGTAATTGTCATGGTGACACTATAGGCGAACCATTGTCCATTGAAGACCTTTTAAACAAGGAATCTGTCTCAAATCCTGTTGGACATTATTCCTTAATAGTAACACGAGCTCTTGAATACAGTACCCAGTACAAGAATGAGAGGAACCTTTTCATAGAGTACATCAACAGTGAGAAGAATGGGTGTGGCTTTTTATTATTATTATTATTGCAGATACTCAGTTACAGGAAGATATTAATGATTCTGTTTATAAGTTGTGTGGAGTGGAAACTTTTAATAAGTTACTTAATAATTCAAATAAAGTAAATATTAATTAAATATTATAATTAATTAATTATTTTTTATAGAAAGAATCACTGAGAAGGATGAAAATATCACCAGGTTTAATTAATAATTATTGTAATTACTATTTATTACAAGATAATGATAGGATATGACATCAGTATAGTAGTCATTAGTTCTGCTGATTCAGCAGTATCGGAATGGAATATTGATATCAGTACAAATCAGTTATTATTACCTTTTCTGAAACACAACAACATCAAAAAAATTGCAAATTTTACCATTAGCTCACAAGTAAATCACATATCCACTAGTTGCACTTTAATTTTTGTAATTATGACTTGATCTACATGTACATGTAATGTACCATAAATGTGCCAAAAACTATATCTTATGGCAATTGAGCTTTAAATGGCCGTAACTTGAAAAATTAATGTTGGAATCAGCTCAAACTTTCTACATAGCATAAGGACATCAATATTTAAAATGTAATAAAAATTAGGAGTGATTTTAGAGCCATTTTTTGGAAAAAAACCATGGGCTATAGCCTTGGGTGTTTTTCAGATTTTTGGCATTTTCTTAAAATGGCCGTAACTTGAAAAATTGAAGTCGGAATCAGCTCAAACTTTCTACACAGCATAAGGACATCAATATGTATCAGAAAATGTAATAAAATCAAGAAATTCCATCCCTTTCAATTTTGATGAGATTGGCCCAGTACTGACAATGTGTAGTACAGGGTCTTTTATCCGGTTTGGGAGAAACTTTTCAAAATCATAAAAATCCCAATTTATATGGAATCAGTTCAAACTTTCTGTACAACTTACATAAGTTCATGTATACATATACACTGTACATGTATGTGTCAGAAAATGTGAATAATTATTTTATTTCTTATACTGACAGTTGTTGTATTTTACTGATGTTGAGTTTATGACGAGTGAAGACATTAACTGTCACACAGTGTCACCAGCACATGTTCCCCACATGATCAGTAAAGTAGATGCTAAATTAGGTAATGATATTTAATTATTAATAATTAATGAATCATTTAATCTGTAGGCTCCACAGTGTCCCAATGGCCAAGACTTACCTTTGTAGTTTATGTACCTCATCCAACGCAAAGACCACTATTGATTAGAAATAGGAACAGTAAAACAAGTTTAGGTTATACTACTGTTGTTTATTGTTGTTTTAGGTGACAACACTGATTCATTTCTTGTACCGCAGTGGGGAGGAGTTATATTTTATAATGATTATGTACAAACTAGAGAAAATGACACCATCAGTGTAGACATGAATGTAGTAATGCCAACTATTGTAAGACAATTGAAGTTACTCCTGGGAATAAATGATGAAGTATAATTAATATTATTATTATTATTATTATTATTATTGATTTAAATATTTGAATTATTGTCTCTTAGCATAAAAGTGAGACTTCACCTCCTTACAACTTACATGCCTGGGTACATATCAGTTAATTTATAATCATTATTAGCAATGAATAGGATATTGATCACCTCCTAATGATACAAACGTTAGAGAGACTCTCTCTAACTAAAGTATCTTTAGTGTCACTGATACAGCTTCTTGATAATGTGAAGAACATGGTCATTAGTGATCACATTCAAACTGAGGCATGATATGATATTGATTTGTTTATTTATTTGTTTGTATTTGCAGGTGGTACAGTCTTTAAATGATCTTAATAAAGTACATTATTTATTTATTTATTTATTTATTCATTCCGTGTTGGTAGTGTGTTGCTAGCATTGCTGATGGTCAATGGTCAGTGGCTCATTCTCAGTGTGAAACTGCATTAGATCATGCAGGTGAGTTAATGAGACTCACCCACTGCAGTGTTAGTTTTATTATTATAAGCAGAGGTTGCATTCTTTGATCCAACTATACTTGCTCTCCTCTACTTCCCTGATGATCAAAAGTATATCCAAACATTAATTGCTAAACCAGTACTCTTCCCTCTTTCTCAAGATATGCCATTTACATTCCACTGTTTCTTCCTGTTGGTTTCCCTGTGCTTCTCTCTCTCATTAAATTATTGAAATCATGGCGACAGTCAAGACATAAAGAAAAGACTTCTTAACATTATTTATTGATCAGTAATGATATTCAAGCACTTCAACACTCAGTGCATGCATTTAATTTTAAAAGGTCAACATGATTATGAAAGGTGTTGCTGTGGTCCTGGTATCATTCCTTTCTCTGTCCTTCACTTCTCCTCCTCCTCCTCCTCCTGATGTCCTCAAATGGACTGAACTTGAAGTTGGGATGATGTACTCGTATGACATGGTCTCCTTCACTAGCCAAACAACTAGCAACACTCAATACTTCTGTCTTGGGGTGGGAGGCAGTGGAGGCTCCCTTCCTCCTCCCTCTCTCTTCAACCCGTCTGCCATTGATACTGACAACTGGTTAGATGCAGCAGCAGCCATTAGAGCCAAATATGCAGTCCTGGTAGCACAGCATTGCAGCGGGTTTAGCATGTGGCCGACTGACATTAAGAATGAAACCGGGTTCGAATACACTTACAGCATTAAGAACTCTCCACTCAGTAAAAGAGGATTTGATATTGTAAAGGCTTTCATTGACAGCTGCAAGTCACACAACATACTCCCAGGAATATACTACAGCCTAAACCAGAACTATTATCTCAATGCTGGACGAGGTATAGTGCAAAACTCACAGCTGGTGCCAGGACAGGCGAAAGTATCTCAAGATCTTTATGGTCAAATTGTCCTGGCTCAAATGAAAGAACTTTGGAGTAACTATGGGGAACTGGCGGAGATATGGTTTGATGGAGGCTGCTCTGTTCCTGGAATTTCAGATAACATCTCTTCACTTCTTGAATCGCTCCAACCTCATGCTGTTTATTTTGGAGGATGTGCCAAGTCAAACAACCTCCGCTGGGTAGGCACTGAGTCAGGAAGACCAAGCTATCCAATATGGAGCACTGCTATGGACTGTAGAGCAGGAACAGGTGACCCTAAAGGCAACGTATTCTGTCCAGCAGAATCAGACACCACACTGCACACCAGTGGACAATGGTTCTGGAGGGAAGGGGACGCCATTAAGAGTTTAAGTGACTTACAAACTACATACTACAGGACAGTAGGTCAGAATACCAACTTGCTCCTCAATGCAGCTCCTAATGATAAAGGTTTGATTGAAGAAGGAAGCATGGAAAGGTATAAAGAGTTTGGGTCGTGGATTGATTTGTGTTTTAATGCTCAGCCTGTCATCAAAACAAGCGGAAAAGGTAAAATAATTCGACTTATTTCAGCAGCTGGTCAGCCGTTCAGATTCAACAATATAATAATCCAAGAGGATCAAACTAACGGACAAGTTGTTACTCAGTTCTCAGTCTACAATCCAATGTATAATGGAACAGTATCTATATACAATGGGACCTCCATTGGACATAAAATCATCATTCATCTAACTGATGATCTCTGGCCTTCACACGAGCTTGTACTCAATATAACACAGGCAGCTGCTGTGGAGCCAGCCATTACTAACTTTGCCGCCTATAGCTGTCATGCTTAAACATCCATTATTAACATTTGCTATAGTTGCTACATTTTTCTTTAAAATAATATTAAATTGAAAGACAAGTTCACCTCAAAGTTTGTGAAAATAATTATTGTCAATTCAAAAAGTCCAATTTTCATCAAATCAACTATAAAGTCAAAGATTTTTTAAAGTTGCTCAAAAATCGGACAAAAGTCCCTGTACTATAGTACAGGGATTTTTGAAAAATGTCCCAAAAATTGACAAGTAGAAAATTCCTCAATTTTATTACATTTTCTGATGCATATACATGTACTTATGCAGTGTAGAGAGATTGAGTTGATTCCAAACAAGTTTGGATTTTTAATGATTTTTTAAAGTTGCTCCAAAATCGGACAAAAGTCCTTGTACTATAGTATAGGGATTTTTGGGAAATTTCAATAAAATTGACAAGTGAAAAATTCCACAGTTTTATTACATTTTCTGATGCATATACATGTACTTATGCAGTGTAGGGAAGTTGAGCTGAATCTGATCAAGTTTGGATTTTTTATGATTTTTTAAAGTTGCTCAAAAATCAGACAAAAGTCCCTGTACTATAGTACAGGGATTTTTGTAAAATTTCCCAAAATTTGACAAGTAAAAAATTCCTCAATTTTATTAAATTTTCTGGTGCATATGCCTGTATTTATGCTGTGTAGAGAGATTGAGCTGATTCCAAATAAGTGTGGATTTTTTATGATATTTTTAAAGTTGCTCAAAAATTGGACAAAAGTCCCTGTACTATAGTACAGGGATTTTTTAAAAATTTCCCAAAAATTGACAAGTAGAAAATTTCTCAATTTCATTATATTTTCTGATGCAAATACCTGTACTTATGTTGTGTAGAGAGATTGAGCAGATTCAAAACAAGTTTGGATTTTTTATGAATTTTAAAAGTTGCTCCAAAATTGGACAAAAGTCCCTGTACTATAGTACAGGGATTTTTGGAAAATTTCAATAAAATTGACAAGTGAAAAATTCCTGAATGTTATTACATTTTTTGATGCACATACATGTGTTTATGCAGTGTAGAGAAGTTGAGATGATTCCAATCAAGTTTGGATTTTTTATGATTTTTTATAGTTGCTCTAGAATCAGACAAAAGTCCCTGTACTATAGTACAGGGATTTTTGGGAAATTTCAATAAAATTGAGAAGTGAAAAATTCCACAGTTTTATTACATTTTCTGATGCATATACATGTACTTATGCAGTGTAGGGAAGTTGAGCTGATTCCGATCAAGTTTGGATTTTTTATGATTTTTAAAAGTTGCTCCAAAATTGGACAAAAGTCCCTGTACTATAGTACAGGGATTTTTGGAAAATTTCAATAAAATTGACAAGTGAAAAATTCCTGAATGTTATTACATTTTTTGATGCACAAACATGTGTTTATGCAGTGTAGAGAAGTTGAGATGATTCCAATCAAGTTTGGATTTTCTATAACTTTTTTAATTTGCTTCAAAATCGGACAAAAGTCCCTGTACTATAGTACAGGGATTGTTGTAAAATTTAAAAAAAATTGACAAATAGAAAATTCCTGAATTTTATTACATTTCCTGATGCATATACATGTACTTATACAGTGTGGAAAGATTGAGCAAATTCCAATCAAGTTTGGATTTTCTATAACTTTTTTAATTTGCTTCAAAATCGGACAAAAGTCCCTGTACAATAGTACAGGGATTGTTGTCAAATTAAAAAAAATTGACAAATAGAAAATTCCTGAATTTTATTACATTTCCTGATGCATATACATGTACTTATGCAGTGTAGAGAGATTGAGCTGATTCTGATCAAGTTTGGATTTTCTATGAATTTTTAAAGTTGCTTCAAAATCGGACAAAAGTCCCTGTACTATAGTACAGTCATTTTTCAAAAAATTCACAAAAAATGACAAGTAGAAAATTCCTCTGTTATACATGTACTTATGCAGTGTAGAAAGATTAAGCAGAATCTGATCAAGTTTGTATTTGTTATGATTTTTTAAATTTGCTTCAAAAATTGGACAAAAGTCCCTGTACTATAGTACAGGGATTTTTCAAAACTTTCACAAAAAATGACAAGTAGAAAATTTCTCAGTTTTATTACATTTCCTGATGCCTATACATGTACTTATGCAGTGTGGAAAGATTGAGCTAATTCTGATTAAGTTTGGATTTTCTATGATTTTTAAAGTTGCTTCAAAATAGGAAAAAAGTCCCTGTACTATAGTACAGGGATTTTGTAAAATTTCACAAAAACCGACACATAGCAAATTCCTCAATTTTATTACATTTTCTGATGCATATACATGTACTTATGCTGTGTAGAAAGATTGAGCAGATTCCGATCACATTGAGATTTTTTATGATTTTTTAAAGTTGCTCCAAAATTGGACAAAAGTCCCTGTACTATAGTACAGGGATTTTTCAAAAATTTCACAAAAAATGACAAGTAGATAATTCCTCAATTTTATTACTTTTTCGAATGCATATACATGTACTTATGCTGTGTAGAATAATTGAGCTGATTCCAATCAAGTTTGGATTTTCTATGATTTTTAAAATTGCTCCAAAATGGGACAAAAGTCCCTGTACTATAATACAGGAATTTTGTAAAATTTCACAAAAAATGACACATAGTAAATTCCTGAATTTTATTACATTCCCTGATGCATATACATGTACTTATGCAGTGTAGAAAGATTGAGCTGATTCTGATCTAGTTTGGATTTCCTATGATTTTTTTAATGTGCTCAAAAATCTAACAAAAGTCTCTGTACTATATAGTACAGGGATTGTTGTAAAATTTTAATAAAATTGACAAATAGAAAATTCCTGAATTTTATTACATTTCCTGAGGCATATACATGTACTTATGCTGTGTAGAGAGATTGAGCTGATTCCAATCAAGTTTGGATTTTTTATGATTTTTAAAAGTTGCTTCAAAATTGGACAAAAGTCCCTGTACTATAGTACAGAGATTTTTCAAAAATTTCACAAAAAATGACAAGTAGAAAATTTTTCAGTTTTATTACATTTCCTGATGTATATACATGTACTTATGCTGTGTAGAAAGATTGAGCAGATTCCGAACACAGTTGGATTTTCTATGATTTTTTAAAGTTGCTCGAAAATTAGACAAAAGTCCCTGTACTATAGTACAGGGATTTTTGTAAAATTTCACAAAAACTGACAAGTAGAAAATTCCTTAATTTTATTACATTTCCTGATGCATATAGATGTATTTATGCTGTGTAGAAGTTTGAACTGATTCCTGTGATTAATTCCAATGAAATGTCTACAGTAGATTTATTCTTGCTACAATTTTGACTCTGGCTGGGACTTAGAATAGTAATGGTTTCTTACTTGGTACACTAATTCTCACTGAAACTTAGAAGAAAGAATACTGGGATCTTTATTCTATAATACTGGTCAAACCCACCAACTTTTTCAGATCAGCTAGCCCAGTATAATAACAATAACAACAACAAGTGACTACGAGGGCATATACACAATGAATGACAATAAAAAAAATAAATAGTTACACAAATAGTCCACTGGTCTAAGAAAATTTAATTTTTGACAATGCTTCCATCAGAGACCTTCACGAGTGAGTCGATAATGTCCTCGGTGAACAGAACCGATGATTGAGACGAGATGGGGTGGTCTGAGTGGATGTGAGTTAGAAATGATGTATCAAACGGCTGACCACACATATAGCAGTGTATATTCTAACCAGATGGATGAACTAATATTCTAATGATCTTCTGTAGGGTACAGGTACCTTTAGGACCATGGTCAAGACTCAAGAGCTTCATCCCAAATCCTAAGCCATGAAATCTCACATGATACCTCACCAATAAGAGTAGTAGTTGGGTGTCCCTTAGCTTTAGATAGGAGTTGATTTCTGTCATGATCAAGTATGGTGTCTTTAGACTTCATAACAACATAGTATCAGGTTCCTTTAGACACTCATCTAGGGCACTGGACTCAAGACCCAGATGGTGCTCCAGTAGTCGGCATTGCTGAACAATGGAGACTCCCAGAGGATCAGTGATGAGACTAGGAGTGAGTATCTGTGAGCTGAGGTTAGTAAATGTATCTTTAGTTAGTAGTTTAGACAGGAATTTCAATTTTCTAATTAGCACAAGACTGGCAATAGAGAGCAGTATTGTCTGCTGCGCATGCGCAGATCCCCCTGTATAAAGGAATGGGCCAACCTGAAAGCTGCTCGATCGAGCCATAGATATTAGAGTAAATGAAAGGGATAGGAAACCACCGTGAAATTTATGGGCATGTCATGCGTTGCCTAGCGACGTATGCAAGTTGTCGTTTTTCTTACCGGGAAACTAGGAAAATGGAGGACCATCACTGGACTTCTTGGCTTATAATTCGTGTCCGATATGGAGTACAGATCCAGTTCCAGGTCAGCTGCAAAGATCAAGATCATATCTATCCATTGATACCTGGTTCAGAAGGACTGCACTAATGGCCCGAATGAAATCCTATCTTGAACTCCTACTGTCAAGTTGTCCAAACTGCCGATTTTGTTTTGTACCTTTTTCTGAAAGTCAATTTTATGAACCATCTATTGGTGTTTAAAAGACATTAACCAATGTTATAACCGAGGTCTTGAGACATCTTCTAATAGGAAATATTGTATGGTTGTGATTTCTAAGCAAAAAGTAGACCCAAATTTTGCTTTTGTTTTGTACCCTTAACTCGCCAGTAACAAATACTCTAGCCTTAAACTTTTTTGTATCAGTCTGTACTTCAAATGCGGAGGTCTTCCACATGTTTTGGGGCTTTCCTTCTATTTCATAAATAAAATAAAAATAAATATTCAGTTTTACAATTTTTCACAATTAGAGATAATTTTGAATGATACAAGAGCATAAATATCATATGAAAGAAAATAGAATATTTAGCACAGCCATAAAGAAGGTACTACATAGCAAAGAAGCTATTCATTTTGTTTCTGGAGCTCTGAATGCAGCAGAGAAGTGCCCTT